TTTTGATTAAATAAATTTGTTAAAAATTTAAAAAATAAACAATTTAGTGTTTCAGTACAAATCGGCTATTTCATACTTTAACCCCTATTACATCTTTCGCCAAATCGACACGTACCAGTGGTTTCATACGTGCTCATCGGTTAAAGGTAATCTTCATCTAGTCTTTATCAACTCTCAAAACTCAATTTAGAAAAAATCATACCTTAGTGAAAGCTGTCAAATTGACATCAGTGAAACTGTAAGCTGTCAGCTTGCAAGGTTTTTGAGCCCTGTGGATGTAAACAAACCATGATATACGGGTTGAATAACAAATAATCACTGAAATAATTATAATAAAAACTGAATTGAGATATTTATTCTACATAAAATTATACAGGTAACACCTACCCTACTTATTTTTACAAGTCTCTAAACTTTGTATTTGTTATTTTTTTTATAATATTCTAACAATGTCCTGTAATGGCTATAGTCAAGACGTTCACAGCAACTATGTCATGTTAAAACCAATATATATCAATAGTAATAATATTTTGTTTTAGTGTTGTATTTAGTCAAAGAGTATCAGTACCGTAGTATCGTGGACAGACGTGACAGTCTATACCTATTGGGAATAAGCTAGGTAAGTAGATAATATTGAGTGTTGACCAATGATATTTATCCATAGTTGGAGAATTAACGGAAAGCCCCAAGCAAAGTCGCTATTAGTTTCACAATACGAGTACATTTCATTTGCTTTGACCCAGGGGCGTTCCGCTTACTGTTTAAAAAAACAAATTAAGTAAAAGAAAAAAAATGCAGTCGAGTTGTTGAAATTTTGATGTTCTGTTATATACTTTTCCTTGCGGAAAGGCAAAGATCTTTGGATCATGCAGCCTAGTCTTTTTTATATTTTTTTAGTTTATATTATGTTAATCCTTTCACCGCCATGGACGCCTTAAAGCGTCAATGAAACCCTGTAATTTTCAGTTGAAATTAATAAATAAATTCAAAGATATTTCTTATGTTATTTGTATATTCTAGTCAAGTATGGATTCATAGTTGCATTTTATATTCAGTTATGTTCATCTCACTGACATATGACTTAGGAGAATTGAATTAATATAAGGTCAACATTCATAATATGTCACATCACTACATAGGCTTGGCGTATAGAGATCGAAACTAGATTTGTCAGTGGCGGTCAAAATGTTAACCATATTAACTATTTTATTCAATATTATCCCTATTTTTTATTATTGTGTAATCAGAACTGTTGCTTATTAATCAGTAAAACATAGCGTGTATGTGGACCACCGCATCAAGCACGCTAGTACATAGATATAGTTGGCATTGTGCAACATTTCTGTAGGTGAAGGACCTTAAGACGAAATTTGGGAATTTTCATGTCGTAACAAACATAGCTTGAGAATGAATGCTATAAAATCACGCAATGGTAAAAGACATTAACGCAACTCGTCGTTTGTTTTTTATTTAACATATCTTATTTGACCTCAATTTTGATTTTAAATGCCTAGTTAAGAACGTCATTCTGTTTCAAACGCTCAATTACTATTTAAGGTCTAGTTGTTTGTGGTACCGCCGCGACGTGGTTTCCGATTTTCATAACATGAGTGATTTAGCTACTTACTTTGGGATCAGAGCAACGTATGTGACGTATGAAAGTTGTGAAAAAGTCCGTCCAGCAAAGTACTGCCACCTTACCCATTTCTGCCGCCAAGCAGTGACGTCAGCATGACTGTGTTCCGGTTTTGGAAGGTAAGGGTGCTGGTGAAATTACAGGCACATGAGACTTGTCAACTTATGTATCAGGGTGATGGGCGCAATGGCAGTGCCCATCAAATCTTTATGATTTAAAGCTTTCGAGTGGCACTGCATCTGTTATGGACAGGCGTGTAGCTTACCATCAGGCGCACGACTTGTTCGTCCCATCACTTGATGTTATATAAAAAAATATATATATTATAAAAGGTTCTTTACCACTCACCTACTTCAGACACACACACATACACAGTAAGAAGACATTTCGCCATCACACGAAACAAGTAACAAAAAAATCTTCAGTCTTTTTTACAATCAAATCATATGTTCTCTCTATTTACCTCATCATTATGATGTGCAGAACCTTAGCCTGCTGAACACTAGCCAAATGCCATTTACTTTCATACACGGCATTGCTTACTTCTGTACTCTGAAAAGTTAAAAAAAATACAATTTGGTCGCATTAGTTCTGTGTAGCTAGTTATTTCTACTCCCATATAATCTTACTCTATGGGGTAAGACCGTATTATGAAAACCGCATCGGGGCACCTGGCAAATGCGATAATAAGTACTTTTATTATAAATATAAATGAACTATAGTTTATTAACCGACTTAAAAGAAAGTAGGATCAATTGGACTGTTTGTTTTTTTGTTTGTATGATACTCGATCACATCATATGTAAACCGATTTTGATGATTCTTTTTCATTGTAAAGGGCGTACTTAATAAACTGCCTCCGTGGCCGAACGGTTACCATGCCGGACTGCCACGCAGAGGTCCCAGGTTCGATTCCCGGGCCGGGAGAAATAGTTGTATGGCCTACAATTATTTCTCTCGTGAGTTTGGGTGTAGTTTGTGGTTGTCTATGTGTGTGTCCATGGCACCCGCGACACAGGGTTTTCCCTAGTGCGGGGCTATGTTGAGTGTGTGCGTTATTTATTTATTATTTATTATTTACTTTAGTAATGGTAACCCATTTAAATTTGAAGCAAGTATTCCAGGTTGGCAAACTAAGGGATGAATGACTTTTGAGGTCGGGTTTTTGAAATAAATGTTGCCTCTGATGAAAAATTCCAAGCAGACATAGGACAGCGGTACTAATTAATATGTTTTAATTTATTCTTATTACCATAGTTAAATAAAAATAAATTTTACTATAATAAAAATTTATACTGTCAAAATAAAATAATTTGTAAAACATTATGCAGTGTAAATTGAAATGTGTCTTTGGAAAATTTGAAAATAAGGTATTCTATCAATAATTTTTGTAACTACAGTGGAATATAGGGTGGTTTGCATTCATAACATAACTGGTTGATGTAAAGGACCCGAAACGTAGGTTTGTTTGAAAAAACAAATATACGCGATTTAGATTCAAAAAAATTGTTTCATTTCCTATGCATAACAATCGCGAAAACCTAAGACAATAATCACATCAACTAACTTGTCTCATACTGGGGAAACCTCAGTACAGAAAGGACCAAAATAACTAAATATATAGCGACCAATTTTAAACATTTCGTTTCCAAAATTGGTCTTTCCGAGAGAGTGCTACTGGGCCATCGAAATTGTAAAAATTATCCGTCGATTTCTTGATTATACTTCTTTACGCAGTGTGTGGGTTTTAACCTTGACGACCTCCGTGGTCGAGTGGCTTGCTCAACGGTTTTCATGGTGTCGCCATTTCTGAAGTCCCGTGTTCGATTCCTGGCCGAGTCGATTTAGAAAACTAACTTTTTTATATCATCTGTTTAAAGTTAATATCACATAAGTGATATTTTGCACAAAAAGTCTTTAATTTATATAGATATGGTAAGAAAATCTTGTGGACAATGTCACTTATGTGGTTTTACCTTTAAGCAGACGATATTGTCTCGGGTTCTGGGTGTTTGTGGTACCGTCGTTTTTTCCGATTTCGACAACACAAGTTCTATAATTACTTACTTTGGGATCAGAGCAATGTATGGCGTCTAATATTTATTATATTTATTTATTATTAACCCCCTAACGATCTACATCGAAAGCCAGCTTCACGGTCAGCGTGTAATCTATAATGTATAGTAAAAATATGTACTTTAAAATCTAACTCATACTTCACTACGCTTTTATTATGGTTAAATTTACTTTTATTCTCTAAGTTCACTATCGGATTAAGACTGAACTGCTCGCCGTTACCTTACAATATTTATGGATTTCGTTGAGGTGGTAGTATGAATTTAGGCATAAATACCACAGGGTGATCCGAATTGACTACCTTAGTAAGTCAATACAATAACTAAAGAAGTAATGCGCGAAACTAGGTGCGAATACTATATAGGGATCAATAGTGGTAGTAAAATTGTCAATAGAAGAACTAGATGAATGAAGCATAACAATCGTGACTGCCAACTACTATTACAGTCCGTTTGTAGTTGCGTTACATAAGCCGTCTGTTCGCTGGTTGAACTCCAACTTTTGCAGTAGCGAAGTATCCAAAATGCAACTCATCTGTCTACGATCGATGTTGCCTACCCCATAAATATTGATAATAAGTAAACTGACAAATGCATACAAGTAATTATGAAATAAGAAAAGTACTATATCGAAAATGGCACAAAAGACCTTTAAATTGTATACTTACAGATCGCATGATCATGTCTCCAAACAAGCACAGAAAGAATATTTGAAAGAAGCAGATGATCAGAAAACTCAAGAACGACACTACGAATACCTTATCGTCTATCTCCTGAAATTAAAAATTATATTTGTTACTTGAAAACCATTTATAGATTCAAATTTCTAGATTGAAAGGATAAGAATAATATCTTTTTCAAGTTCGAAAACGATTCTTTTATTAACTTTTATAAAACTTTTTTCTACTATGAAAAACGATGGTACTCCAGTGATAGAAAAGTCACATTAGAGAATCAATGTTACTAAGGGTCAAGAAAACAATGTGTTGAAACCTACATGTAGACGAAAGTTCACAACCTTTGGAAAACGTTCGGAATCTCCATCCTGCAATGGGCCAGTGTGGTGAACTATGCCGCAATAAATCTTCTCCTTAGGGAGACTCGAGTGGAAACATGTATTGAGTTGACGATGATAGTGATAAGTTTATAAGATTTTACCGTAACATTAAACCCAGTGAGACAAATCAGAAAGGAACTGCATACGAAGTTAATGAGCGTCGATTTAGAGTAAATCACTTCCAATAAATACACAGCTCTGAAAAGAATTATGAATCAGGTTATGAACATGATAGTTAACAAAAACTCGTAATAGTTACCACCCTAAACTGAACAGCCTATGTCAGAATAAAGAAATAATATTTGTTACTGAAACATAGTCCTTCTTTGCACTGCTTGAGTAAATAATCTTAAAGGCTTCCATAACAAAGTTAATGCAAAACTCCAGGCTAATAACACAGTATTTAAAAAACAGTTAAGTAATGGAATGCATTTACTATAATAATTAATCAATTAACTATTAAATTATACGTCGAAGATACAAAATTGTTAATGAAACTGCATTTTGTGTGCGAGTTTTAGTAGCAGTAGAGCTCCTTGTGAGAGAGTTCGTCCAGGGAAGTACTGCCACCTTACCTATTTCTGCCGCCAAGCAGTAATGTCAGCATTACTGTGTTCCGGTTTTGAAGGGTAAGGGCGCGTGTATACGCTAAGAAAAGTCGCCGGGTCTATGCAAGATTTCGTGTCGTTTCTACACACGAACTGTGTACACAGCCTCGGCGCCGGATAAGAAAAAAATCTTGTCTACGCCCGACGCGACGCGCCCTGCCGCTATTGCATAGGGCGCATTGTCAGTAAACGAACGTTCATGCGCGTGGACTGATTTTGCAAAGTACCACAGTTGCACCATTAATTTCATTGCGACTAATAAAATGCATGATTTATTTATAAGTTTGATAGAGGAATGACCCGCATTGTGGGAGAAAACCTTAGAGATTTATAAAGATAAAGGACGTACTTTTGAGGAGTGGAGAGAAATACTTATTATTCTATACATATAATTTGCAATCACCATTTTTTTTATTAGTAGTCAACATATTTCTTCACACAGTCAGTAGTAAAATGACAGTTACCTGGAAGAGCACTGACACATTTACCGTACACGCGTCTGCCCGAAAGCATTCGTATCGTGTACATACTCATCATTTTCTTGTCTGCAACAGACACGAAATATTTTCGTGGCTAGATCCGACAAAATTCTTCCTGTACAAGGCCATTCTCGTCTTTTCTGTTGCAGACACGACGAATTTCTTAGCGTTTACATGCGCCGTAAGGATGCTAGTGAAATTACAGGCACATGGGACTTGCCAACTAATATCTCAGGGTGACAGGCGTAGTAGCATTGCCCCTTTGATCTTTGCGATTTAAAGCTCTGAGTGACAATGCAATTGTTACGGACAGGCGTTTAGCTTGCCATTAGGCGCACGACTTGTTCGTCTCGTCACTTCATATCATAAAAAAAGAGTAATTTATAATAACTTTATTCAACCATAAAAGTGCATTTATATTTCAGCGCGGTAATTGCAAGCAAATATACAAGCGTAGGTTAAAAGCATTGACTTAAAATTATATCGACGTCGGGTCCGCGCTAAAAAGTGTCCGAATTTACAGGGCGTTAAAATCGTATACAGAGCGTCATTCACGCTCTAGTCTTCGTTTGTTCGACTGACAGCAAAGCAAGCAAAATTAGACAGTACTGCGATGACATTACAATTTAAATTCAACGTTTTAGCTTTTTCATATTCCTTGACATGTCACTACGTATAAATAGGTTGGCTTGGGACATTTTTTTCGTGGTTTTTGTATTAGACCCGTCGTCCATTTATTTGTAAGTCAATGGTTAAAAGGGACAACTTTGGCAGTTACCGATACCGCTATGCGTAACGTATCACAACGTTATAATACTTGCAGCTCTATTTTCTAATCCCCGATGCAAAAAGAGGGGAAATGTAAGTTTAAAGCGTTTGTCAGTGTTAATGTGTGCCTTTCGATCTGTATGTGTGACTGTGACATCGTAGCTCCCTAAAAGATAGACTGATCTCAAAGTGGTTTTTTATTTAAAATTTAACCAAACTTATTAACGGAATCGTCTTCATGCGATCGTGTTTAACCACACTTGTCGCATTACGCCGATTCGCCGTTGATGCGGCCGTTAGCGCGCCATCGCTCCAGTTGTTTCTTCTGAGCCAGGATCAGCCGTCGTCGGCATGTGTACCGATGCGATAGGAAATTCGCACGAAGTAGATTCGTTGCCGACCTATGTCTAGCCGCATCCGTACGAACCGATGCGAAACAAACAACGTATTTTTCGCTCTTGCGTTCATGCACATAAAGCTTTTTCAGACCGGCTTAATGCAATTCTGTTAATACCTAAGTGTGGTAAATAATACCCTTAATTGAAATGGTTTTAGCTGTCCATGACCAACATCTATTGCCATTTCATACATCCTGCACTTATCCTATTCTTAACATCCCGATCTATCTCGCCGTCGTTATGTAATAACGAACCGACGTACCGAAAATCGGAGTAGACTAGTAGGGAAACACCATCTAAAGCAATATTGGTAAAATTGGAGGCACCGCCAAAGATGAGGAAAAGTTGTCTGGTTTTCGACCGGCTAATCCTCAACCCGACACTCTCCAGTCTTACCTGTCATTTTGCCAGTCTGCTCTGGACCTCAAGAGCTTCCTCCCCGACAAACACAATATCGTCGGCGAACAGCATGCACCAGTTTGCCTCCTCCGGTTGTCCAATGTTACAGCATCCATAATCAGGAGAAACAGATCCTTGGTGCAATCCCACAGCCACAACGAATGGTTCATAGTACTTACTTAATAATATCCTGATGCCACCTAATAATTCTGACCAACTTCAACCCCAATGCCTCGTTCGTTTTCCTGCTTAAACGTTGTCTTCCATCGTTATGTACAGTTTCAGGAATACTACCCTGTATCTCCTGTTGCAACAACCTGAATTGTACTTGAATGTATGTGCAGCAAATGTAGTACAGCGCGTCCGCACCGAAGACGTAAAGAACAGTTAATATTACTGAAAAATGATTAAGGTTTAGAAATAGCTTAGGCCGCGCCGTTTGGTTCTACGCATTTGTTGTACTGTAGGAAGACAAATCAAACAAAGGCATCATGTTTGTTTACGGGAAAGGTAAAGTATGTCGAATACATTCATACAGGCAAGAAAATCTGACAGTATCTGACCTACACCACTCTTGTCTCTCCCTTGTAAGTATACAGGGTGTTTTTTTAACCGGGACAGAATGGCGAAATCTGAAACCATAGAAGATACAAGGAAACTGTCTTAGGAACCATTTAATCTTTTTTGTGAAAACAATTTTGGCATTTTGGCATAGCGCGTTGTCCGCACCCTGGGACTCGCCGATGTTCGCTCATTGGATGCGACTGCATACCGCCGTCGCACAGTATTGTTACTTTTTATTTATTTATATTGCTGTGATTGTATTGTGTAACTATCCCCTAGGTTTAAGCATTTTATAGTTTACTAACAATATAATTATGGACCTGGTTCCGACATAAAATGATTATTATTATTTTATAGTCACTTTTTTGGTCAAGCGTGAGTTGTCCATAAAAATGAATAAAATTGGTTCATATTTTTTCAGTGCTGATCGACTCAGTTTCATCTAAGAATCATTGTTTCATTGTATTGGACGTAAAAAATCGGGACAGCAGAAATTGGTTAAGTTCCATTAAATAATTTGTATACAAAATTAATAAAATTGAAAAAAATGAGAAAAATTAAATACATAAATAATATAAAATTGCCACCAAAATTAGGTAGTAGAGGAAAATAACCTGAACCCTACAATAACAAAAAAAAACGTTAAAGACACGGCAGACGGGTTAATACAAACAACTAAAGAGACTGTTTTGAAAGTGCGAAATAATCAGCTGTTCTCACTTACCAGTCCAAATCTGCTTGATGATAACAAATGGCCAATACTTAATATTATACACATCGAACGGATAGAGCGCATAAAAAGGCAATAATAAAACAATTTCATTCGACGCAAAATATTTATACGTCGACAACGTAATAGGCATTAGAGGAAACGCGATTATCAATGTCCAATTACAATAATTCTGCACTTTTAAGACTAAATGCAAGAACTTTATAGGTTCCATTATGTTTTTGTTATAGTGATCTTTTAATTTTAGTGATTTTGTTTCAAGATCTCTCAGTACAAACACTATTTCGTCAACATACTTATAGTTAACAATTGACGGTACCGACTTTACATAGGCTAACAAACCCATGGTAAGACAAGGAGATGCATAAGTTAAGGACATCAGGGATGATCCCGTATACACTCCGTGTAGAAAAAAACAGACAGCGCCAATCAAATCATATGTGTAGGCGAAATATTGGATATAACAAATTGTTCTCGCTTTTTTCATGTTCCAGTCCTCACGATTATTTAGATGCATGCCTGTGAAACGAAATATGTATTCTATTTTACGTAACGACTCATCGAATAGTAACATTGTTTAATTTATAATTTTCTTCACAATAATGTTAAAACAGCTTCTCAAAATTGAATTTATTGGCCATACAAAACCCAACCTCAATTGAATTTCTTTGTTTTATTCGTACACCTTAACTGATGAATTCTACTAGTGATGTAATATGGTTTTACAGTAGAGCCAATATGCACGGAATCGGTTTTTATAAAGGCAGAGGCGATCCAGAGACCGGCAACCTTCGGTAGAGGTTCTTAGTATATAATTTTATTATGATTAACAAATTAAGTCTTTAGGTTTCTATAATTGTGGAAATGATTCCTTCCTAAATCACGTATATTTGTTTTTACAAAGTAACCACCGTTTCAGGAACCGATCTACTACATGATCTTTAGCCATGAATGAATGACCATAAAGAGACTTTAAAACTAATAAAATTATCAGGCTTTCGGCCCATTATATACCAGAGCGAAACAGAAAATGTGGTTTAAGTAATAAATTCGAATTCTGTTCTTAGGTATCCGCAATTATTACACATAGGAAATGAAACTACTTTCTCGGATCTAAACATATTTCATATTCGCGTATATTTCATTTTTCGAACAAACCAATGCTTTGCCGGCCGGTCCGCGACTGTCAGTCAGCCGTGATCATGGGACCGGTAAAGGGCCGTTGGTTCATTTTTGAAAAAAGAAATACGCGATCTAGATCCGAGAAAATGGTTTCGTTTTCTAAATTCAAATTCCTTCGCTTATTCAAATAGTGCTTCGTTATTTTGAATAAATGGCGTAAAATAGCGGTAGACTAATATTAACTGAAAAATATCTCTTCTATAGATATATCTCTCTCTACCTTTATCTTTCGGTAAAAATATTCAGACACTGTTATAAATCTCAGGGTTGCATATCTCTTTCTATAAATCGTATCTTTACTTGTCCTTCGTACGTAATATGAAATTATCAAATGTACCTAATTAACGTTTGAATTATTAAACTACTTATTAAAATATACTTAGCGAGTTTCATAATTATAACTTTTGCAATGTTCAACATCTCAAAAAAGAAATATAATCATAACCTACATATGTACAAAATAACAGGGTGTCATATGAATTAAAGATGTAAATCATATTTCTTTTGTTAAACAAGTTTCTAGCCTTTGAAGTAGGCGGAGTGAGAAAGTCGTGATATGTATGTTATGTTATGTTATAGTACTCCAGTCAGAAGGGTGTGAAGTCCCCAACCCGCATTGGGCCAGCGAGACGGACTATGACCTTTAGGTCGAAGGTTTACCCTCGCCTGAGAGGAGGCCCGTGCTCAGCAGTGGGTCGTACAAATGGATTGTTGATAATGATGTACTCCAAAAAGTTAATAAAGTCACCACAAATGAGCCAACAACTCGTTAAAACCAAATTTAAATGAGCCCAAATTCGATAGTTCTACTGTGTCCTTTCGGACCGTCATTTCTCGGATTCGGAACTGTGGGTCTACTCTCGATCTCCGTCTGACGTCCGTCCGAAACAATTACTGTCAAATAAGTAATATTCGACAAAATTAAAAGACAAGTATCAAGTATGAAGCTTCATTCGCATCACGCGTCTTTTCATTTGGTCAAGTATTGCTTATTTGGCAGTAATTATTTCGGACGGATGTCGGATGGAGATCGAGAATAGACCCCCTGATACGAATTGGACGTAGTGGCAATGTACTAACGTTCTCCGTCCGAACTAACAACTAAGTAATACTCAACCAAGTTAAAAACTTATGATGCGAATGAAGCTTCTTACTTGACATTGTTTTTTAAATTGGTCGAGTATTACTCCACAGGAACGCGCCCTCGCGCGTTCCCATTATGCGTGACGACAGATAGTCTTGTAATTGAAAGTATCGTGACTTGATGATTATCACTAATATCAGGTGTTTTACCACGGTATGACTTCTTTTTATTTTCCC